CTTAAAAACCAAAGAATAACATCAAAGATAATAAGAATAATTTTCAGGTGGCAAGGTGCACGAGGAGGAAATAAAACATCTCAAAGTAGTGTTCAGAAGTTGTTGCAAGCACAAGAACACTGACATTACAAATATCAGATCAGTTAGATATTTTAATATCTTAACAATCATCCAATTAATAATTGTCATTTGGGTCAATATGATACTTGGTTTTATGATCACAAACTTAGTTTTATAATAAAAAGAATCAATTGAGCCTCGACTACGATGGATACCAGGTTACATATATTTACATATTTTGATTTTCAGATAAGATTTCCTTGGAACAATGGATTACATAGTTACCAATAAAAGGAGGAAAGTGTTGAAAACCTCTGAAGTATGTTAAATAGAGTAAAAGTAGCCTGAAATTTTTTGAAAGCTGGAAAGACTGTTGTATTAATGTTCTTCCATTATCTGATTCAGCAACAAACCTGCTATTTGACCTTAGTACCTGTTACTCCCCACATTAAATTGGACCAAATGCTCCTGAACTGTGCCAGTTTTCAATATTCTACCAATTGTTAAGCCATAAGTTTTGATTTCTGGTTTGGAGAGTATGGTCACCACACCCAACATAAACTCTGCCCCAAATAAGAGTATCTTTCTTTGCCAGGTACTTACAACTACTCCTAGGAACACTTCTCATACAACCACCCTCTCAAACCTCCCCAATGTCTTAATGTGGCCCCCATTGTCACCTATCACCATTTCAGAGAAGTTGAATTCCTTTCCTCCTCTAAATTCTTATTGCACTTCTTGTTAACCCACTTATAAGGTCCTTAATCAAAATCCTCATCTCCCCAAACATCTATAAGCACCAGATTATGGAAACTTTCTTCCTCCCATAACACTTAGTAGAATTCTGTGCATGGAAGATATTCATTCAATAAATATTTATTATGTCCCTACTATGTACCAGACAAAATCATTCCGTGACATAGATCATAAATCAGTAGAAAATACAGATAATACAGCTAATACAGGAAGAGGCAATTACTGAATTGTGTGATAAGTGCCATGACAGAAGTTCCTATAGACACTCAATGCACACTGCCAAATAGGCAGACCTCCTTTACAGTGGTTTAAAATCCTATTTCCAATATATAAGGTGAAGACATTTACTATAAGAAACCCACTGTCAGGAGGCATATCAGGCTAACATCCATAAACAGAGAGTTAGTTTTATTTCTATGAGGATAAGCCACTAAGATGAATTTCTAGTACTTTCAATTCACTGATGTTTGGGGCTTTGTTTTCATTTTTTTTCCCCTATAGCCCAAAAGAAGGAGGAGGAAGAAAGGATAACAAGAAGGAGGAAGAGGAGAAAAGAAAGAGAAAGGAGAAATAGAAGAGGGAGAGGAAAAAAAAATAAATCCCATTTATTATTATGGAGTCTACTCTGCAAATACCTGGTCACTCTACCAGGGAGCTTGGCCTTAACCCGGCACACTGCACAGGGTTTTAATTTTAAAGCAGCTATAGTCAGGAATGCTTCCAAAGGAGCCTTCAGTCATTTCTTTTTCTACTCAAAACTTGGATTCCCATTCCTATAAGTATTATTTCCTTAAACCTATGGGTTTTCCACTGTTAGTAACTAGGGATAAGAATGCTGAAAAAGGCCATACTTAGGTTAGACTTAAGTGTCCAAAATGCCAATTAAGCTAGAAAATCCTTCACCAAAAATAAGTATGTTTGAGTACTACTTCCAAACCTGTTTCTTTCTATGTAGAGGTTGTCAATATTACCTGATGTTTCTGCTTATCTAGATTCACAATAAGACATAAAGATTGTCTCCTTTTAGTGCATGAAAAATTTAGTCCCCAAAAGATACTTTTTGCTTTCACCTTCTTTGCTCATCAGAGTAAAATGTACTCAAACCGAAAAATTTCTGTCAAAATCTATGACTTCCCTGAGAAAATATGCATTACATAGGTGAATTTCTGAAAACACAGACTCCAGTTCTAAATTACATTTGCTTTCAAACAATCAATATGCAGCACGATTTTTTTTATCTGAATCAGCAGCAGTGTCTCATCTCAGACTTATGTAATGCAATAAATATATTTAATATGCTAAAGAAACAAATGGATTCTGTTCTTTGCCAATAAGCAGCTCTCCCTGTAGTCTATAGGCCCAACTTTCTCCACAAGTCCTTGGTGCTCAGAAGGAGGTGCAATAATCAATGCACGAGGGGGAAGAAAGGAGGTTCTCAGCAAGCCTGCAGCAAATAGAGCACTGGACTCCATTCTTGTCATTACTGGACACTTTTGTGCCTCTTTTGCATGACCATTGCAACGTCCAAGCCAAAGCTTAAAAGAGACTGCAAGATGAAATAGAAGGGGCCATGAAGAAAGATGAAATTAAAGTGTCGATTTGTTTACTTATACTAATTGAAGGAAGTCTCTCTTGCTTTTCTGATAAATAACCAAGCCATCATTCTATTTGAACATACCAATTCCACTCCAAGTCCTTTAGCTACTATGTGACCTGAGGTCAAAGCTAGAACAACAAGAAAAAATACCTATCCCTATGTTTAAAAACAAGAAAAATCCCAATTTTTCATTATCTTTTATCATCAGTATAAAAAGACTTTGTAGCTAAGCTTACATCCAAAGAAAAAGATTCATTCACATGAAGCCATAATGAAACTTTAAAAATAAATATGCGCTTTTAAACATGGAATGCTTTTTCAGGTTACTTAGGTTAGACAAATTCCTTGTGCTTGTTTTATTTCTACAGGATACACTAATAACAAATTAATTTTCCTGTAAATTTAAAATATTTATATTTTATAGCATCCACGATCAACACTCAGTTCATTTTAACCTTGAAAAATATTTACGACATGCCTAACCATTAAATACTAGTAGCTGCAGACGTACCAGACAATGACAGCAAAACACTCAGTCCCTCTGGGATCTGTTCATAAACATCCCCTTCCAGCATGGCAAACATACTCCTCCCGGCAGCAGATGCTGTTCTGGGGCGAGCAAGCAGGAAGCTGTAGGCAGCTGATTTTTCCACTCTACATATAATTTCTTACTGCCTCATCACCAAGAATCTTTTTAACAAAACTGCCGAGATTTGGTAAGAACAGGAGCCTTACAAATTAAAGAGAATTTACAACAGCGAGAAGGAATGATATGCAAATGATGAAGCATGAAGAGTCTTTAATATTTAAGGTCATACCACCTTTGTCATCTCATTTTCTAGTCCCATTGTGGGGGAGAGAAAACAGAGTTTGCTCCACGTGGTGAAATAAGCTAATCCAATACTTTAAGTCAATTTTAAGGGTAAGGTCAAGACAGAGAAGGAAATAGAGAGAGCAGAACTGCTTCATCCAAATTGCCCAGCCCCCCAAATCCAATGGTTCCCAGAGTGGAGTTGGAAGCTTTGTAAGCTCAGTCATGAGCACACTATCTGTATTGACATACATATATGCCCATCTAAGGTAGAACACTTACAGAAGCCTCTCTGAGGGAGAAGGTCCTTACTGCAACCATTTTAAATATGTTGATCAGCATTCTGGGAGATCTTCCAAGGTCTGACAAGTAGCAGATTAGGGATAGAGGGAGAAACTGGACCTTGGGCAGGCAGTGCCTGGTGCACATATACCCATTTTTTTTCAGTCTCTACTGTGGCCTGTCCCATATGACTTAGCCTGCTTCCTTCCAGTTTGTTCACGAAAGTTATCATCAACACACAAGAAACAGGCAAGACTGCTGCACGACACTGTCAAGCTCTGCAGCAAAGGCAGCTCATGTAAACAACCTTGTGATTGCTTCAGAGCCGCTGCCATGGGATAAGTCAGGCTCTTTCTGTAGCTAAACTGCTGTACCCTTGGAAGTTGTCTGTTTAAGGGAGTAAAAGCAGAGACTCAATCTCTAGATTTAAATATAGGACGAGAAAAAAAATGTGTGTGTGTGTATATATATACATATATATAATTTATATACATATGTACACACATTTAATTTTCTTAGATTATCTATAACCCGACTTGCTTGAAGATTTTCAATAAAACCATATTTATTTTGTTGAAAGCACAGATACATAAGTTCTGATAAATATATTGCAATGCTCTTTTCTAATGATACATCTTTTTTTCCCACTGAAAAAGCTCTGACATTTCTAGGGGACACAGTATCCCAGCATAGAATAACTGGGAACCTTGCCATTAAAAAAAAAAAAATATGCTCCTGCTGTGACTAGGAGATCACTTTCTTAAAGGGACCCATTACCTATGTGACTGCAGTGCCAATGTTTCTTCTTATTTCTAACCTGACTCCTGTTCTATGTTCCTTCACCTGTCCAAATTTAGCCCAGGGTCTCTCTATAAGAGGAATGTCATTAGTTTTACAACATATATATATATGTATATATATATATATATATATATATATATATATATATATATACACACACACACACACACACACACACACACACACACCATTCCTTACTAAACTATAAAAATGTCCCAACATATTTAAGGTATACCTGTCAAGAAGTAAACACAAATGCATAATAAGAGACATTATTTTTAAATGTTTTGTGGGACCCATAGTATTTCACAGATGGAGAACTGAGGTCAGCACTTTTATCAAGCACAGCTGCCCCCACCACCATCACCAATATGTGTATGTTTCTCTCTTCCCTTCTATAACTCTGCATTGATCTAAAAACCCTTGGTCACAATAATAAGCTTCCTTCCCACATTTTGTCACCCTTTACTCCAAACAGAAAGATTTTCAACATGCCTAAGTCTTGGAAGAAATGTTCTGCCCAGAGAGAAAAGCTGGTGGCTTCAGAGGTAGTTCGCTTGATTAACCTGCTTTCCACCGCACCTCTCTCCACTTTCCCATGCTCCCTTTCCCACTCCACCAGACGCAATGAATAGACATCACCCCACCCTCCAAAAACAGGTTAGAACCCAGAATGAGCAAAGAGCCACCTACCATTCCGTGTCTGAGAACTACGATCCTGATCCGGCAGTGTCTGCCCCAGAAATCCTCCCTACTTGGTTTTCATTGACCACATTCCAAACTGTAATGAGGAAGATAATTTTTGGAGGTGGAGAGATTATTTAAAATTAATGATAGACAGGCGATTTCCAAGAAGACTCAATCTTAAACTCACTCAAGCCCCTAGCAATTGAGGGGTGAGGAGAAAAAAAGAAATTTGTAAAAATGAAAACGGAAAAGAAAAAGGTAAGCATATAACATGCACCACCAACCCCCATAAAAATAAAAAGAAAAGGGGAGGATTTAAAAAAAGAAGAAGGAGAGTGGCTTGCTGAATCACCCTCTTTCACTGCCTGGAAACCATTGTGCAGCGTGATGCTGCCTGTACCATTGTGGAACCTACCAGAGGAGACGGACAGAGGGCTTGGGGAATGGGGTTGCTATGGCAACTGAAAGGAGCACACATGACGTCAAAGCCCAGAGAGGTCTAGGGAGGGGTGAGAGGGGGAAAAAGAAAAAGGAAAAAGTCTATGCGCAGCTACAGCTTCTGTGTTTTCTGGCGAAATGAGGAGCAGGCAAAATGTAAAGAAGTAGGGTTCACAGGCACCCATATCAGCGACTACTGGGGGAGCCAGTCTGCAGAGCACAGAGAAACAGTCCACTCGATGCAGCTCTGGTCGTTTGCATGGCAGCACCAGGGACAAATATCAGCAGATCAAAAGCAAAACAAACAAACAAAAACCACTGAAATGCAGCCAGCCTCGGTTTTTCAACTACCTCAGCTTTTTGCAAACAGCAGGGGGAGAGACATGCAGTATTTTTCTAAATGTCAAAACAAATGAGAGATGGTCATGAACTCGGAGAAGAAGCAAGCATTGAAGTCTCACCTGGACCACAGAGGTCATTTGCACAACAGTATTCCTCTGTTCTGTGTTCTTATTGTCATAAAAATCCTGGAAAAAATACCCACTTAAATAAAACTCAAGAGACTGAGGCTTAGATTGCATTTTAAGTGTACAAAGAAAATACTGATGATTTGAATTAACAAATCAGGCTTCTTTTTTCTAATTATAGATAATTATCTGGAAAAGTGAGGCAAATTGCATTATTACTATTGGGGGCAAATATCGTATTTAAGTAGTTTCTCTGCCTTTGACAGTATAAAGGTATTTTTAAGTCTCCACACTATTTTAATAATAGTTTCATGGAACAAGATCTGCTGGCTAGTTCCACTATTTAAAAAGAAATTTAAATTTACCAAAAGTTTTAACTTTTTCTCTCATAAGCAAAATGTTCAGTATCTGCATAGATTACCTGAACCATGATTAAGCCTTGACTTCTCAAACTACATAATCAAATACAATTCCTTTTTTGCTTAAATACCTTTGAGGTGGGTTTCTTTCTTTCTTTTTTCTTTTTCTTTTTGTTATTGTTGGTATATCAAATATTGTAGCATCATTTATTTGACCAAGGTAAAATATACTTTCCATCACTACAAACTGAGCACAACCACAGTTGTTTACACATCCATATTTTCAGAATGTGACAACATTTTGCATTCTACATGAAACATTTGGTTTAAAAAAATCTTAAAAGTCCTCTGTTTTGTATCCTACCTTCCTTCCTGTTGTCTCCCGTCTTTGAGGCGGGTTTCTATCTACTACAACCAAACAGTGCTGAGTTTCATGTGATTCTATGTTTTAGAACTTGCATACTTATCTGAATAAGAAGCTTCTTCCACACCTTTCCAGAAAAGAAACAAAATGTGCAACAGATTTAAACTCAGCAGTGATTGTAGACACTGAAACACATCATAGACCTGTAAGAAACCAGGTAAGGTTTTATTGTTTTTGTATCACTGTTGCTATTGTTGTTTTATTCAGAAAAGAATTTTGAAAATGAAAGAATTTGATGACTTTTCTGTCACTTAAGTCAGCACAGCATGTTTTTCCATGTCCCTTTGCCCTAATTTCAAATTCAGTAAGAATAAATTGACTACCAACTTTTAGTCTTTACGGGCTCTATCTATACATGATAAATATTTCATTCAAAAATATGGATTGATAGTCAAACAATTATAACAGAAAGAAATTGTTATCCTGACTTTTAAATTATTGGATTCTAAGTTTTGGGAGGTTGGTTGGTTGCTTTCATGGTGCAGGGAATCAAATCCAGGGAATGCTAGGCAAGCTCTCTACCATTGAGCTACATCCCTAGCCGGTATTCCAAGTTTGGATAGCAAAGCCAATCCCAATAACTCAACACTAATGAGGAACAATGAACTTCCGCTCTTACCTTACATTATAAACATAAACTTTAATTCAAAATTGCCACAGTCTGGCTGGGCACAAAATCACCAGCCACTCAAGCAGGAACAAACTTTATTTTTGAAACTGCCGCCAATGCCCCATATGCGCCCGGGAAGATTGCCAATCCCCACACGCGGCATTCTCCCGGAACCCCAGAGGAAGTTCTTCCCCCGGAATTCCCTCCTACTGCACTTCCCCAACCAATGGGAACTCTCCAGGAGTCCGTAGCAGGCCGAGGTGAACAGCAGGAGTCCAATATCCATATGAATGCAAATCTTAACATAATCATATCACCTCAATGGCTAGCTGGCATCACCTTTCAACCAAAAATGCCATGCATCATATTACTTGGCTGTGGCTCTTAGCACAAAATAAGTTGTACACCTGAACAGTACAGTTAAAATCTATAAAACTATCAAACTAAAATATATCTCTTAGAAGAAAGAATAGCTTTCTGATCTTGGACTTGGCTAAGATTTCTAAGGATACAGAAAGCATAACAATTTAAAAAACAATAATTTTTAAGTAGAATTCATAAAAATTAAAAGCTTCCACTTATCCAAAGTCACATTAAGAAAACGAATAGATAAGCCATAGGCAAGAAAATACTCTTGACACATATTTGAAATTTTTCTTAACACACATGAAATTCTAGATTGTATAAAAATGTATAATTCAATAATAAGAACAAACTATTTTGTTTAATTGGAAAAAGACTTGAACAGGTAATGATAGAGGAAGATTTATAAATGATTCACAAGCATATAAAAATCATTCAACCTAATTGTCACGAGAGAAATATACCTGTGGGTGCCCACTATATAAACTCTCATAAAAGCTTTTTTCATTTGGTGTCAATCATCCTGTATTATGTATTACTATAGATTTATGAATATATAATATCTCACCTTATACTTAACTATGACTTAATCCTTTTTATTTCTCATTGTCTTCCTTGAAATTTTCCCTTTCCAGGAACTGAACATACGATCTTACAATGATAGGTAATCAGTAAACATTTATGATTAATTGTAATTATCTGTGGCTTGTAAATCTTTTACCAATTGAAAAACTTTTTATCACAAAAATTATAATGAAATGTTGAGTTTTGAGATACCCAGTGGTAATGCAGGTAACCTGTGTTACAATATTACATATTTGAATTTTTGTCTTGAAATACAAAAATACCTTAACTATTTCAAACTCTTTTCAAATTTCTTCCAAATGAAACTGTATTTAATTAAATGTCTGACTTGAATTCTACTAGTAATATAAATTATGAGAGCCTTGAAAGAAGAGTTTTAAATGAGTAAATGAATATGTAAGTTCTTATTTTCAAAAGGATAGTGTTGAATTCAGTATTCTTTGTATACAAGTCCAAGTATTTAATGGCATGTGTACAGTTCATGACAGGGTTAAAGGTGTTCAGGAACAGCTCTTGTTTTTCAAGTAAAGAGATCTCCCTTCCCTTGCTTTTATTTTTTATTGGTTCTTTTTAGTTATACATGACAATAGAATATACTATGACCTAATTATAATAGTATGTAATATAATTTGTTCGCCTTCAATCCCAAATATTTCCCCTTCCCCTCCCTTCTCCTTCCCTTATAAACAAAACTTTCAAAATGAATTACTAAAACATGCAGTGATATAGAGGAACCTCAAAAAACATTATAATAAGTGAAAAAATGAGACAATAAGAGCATATACTGCATGTATTCATTCACATGAAATTCCAAGCAGACAAAACTACTCTGGTGATAGGAATCAGAAGTATATTCTCAAGGGAGAGGCAGACAGTTAGGGACTATGCTGAGAGCAAGAGGAAAATTTATGAAGCAATGAAAATGTTCTACATCTTGATAGAGATGTGAGTTATTATATGGATGTAGATTTGTCAAAACTCCTCGTAGTGTAGTTCTTAAAATTTATGCAATTCATGCTATGTAAATTAAATTTCATTCAAGAAAAAAAAATTAAGTCAATTACAAAAATAAAATCCCTGAGTGAACTAGTAAGGTAGAGTTCCAAAACCTTCAAATTTAGTCCCTAATCCTCAAATCTTTTTTAGACCCTAGCAGACCCAGGAATAAGTAAAGGTAGGTGCAGAATCATTAGGATCTTAAGAGACCTAGCAAAATCTTCAAGGTGACAATTGAAGTAGTTTACATAACAAATAAGAGATGAGAATTCACACATTTAAAAAACAGATTTTAAGAAGACCAACAATGAGTAGATTCCTAGATTCAGCTGTAGGGACTCTAATTTAGTGTTAGGACCCCTTCTCTGAAGGAAACGAAGGGGCTCAAGAACTATTATTGCAAACAGTATGTGGACTCAGGAAGAGATGAGCATAAAGGAATCATCAGTGATGTAGAAGAGCCAAGTAAGAATCCAGTTTCTAAATGCAAATCTCAAGGGCATTCATTAATGGCGCCAGCAGTAAAAACCAACATATACCCTGATGTGTCATGTCAAAATTGATCCCAGAGTCAGGTGATCAACTTGTCTCCACTGTCAGCCATCTTTCAGGCTTTGGAGTGAAAGCTGTGACTGATTTTGCTGTGAGTCCCAGGTTGAGAGTTGTAAAAGAAAGAAATCACAAATTCTTCATGATAGCAATGTCACTAAAGAATAGTATAGCCTAGCTATAATTTAAACTTTAGTATGTTCTGAATTAGGGTGGTGGCAAGAGGATATAAAAGGTTTGATAAAAGAAAGCAAAATTATTGAAATTTAAATCAATAGATCTTGATGAGTGATTGTTATGGTTCAGATGTATGATGTCCCACAAGAGCACGTGTGAGAGGCAATGCAAGAAGGGTTTGAGGAGAAATGAGTGGGCTATGAGAGCCATAACCCAATTAATCCCCTGATGTGATTAACTGAGTGGTGTTTGAAAATGGTTAGGGTGTGGCTGGAGTGTGGCTGGAGGAGGTGGGTCCTGGGGGCCTGCCTTTAGGATATATATTTTGAATCTGGCAAATGGAGTCCCTTTCTCTCTGCTTCCTGATCATCATGTGGGTTGCTTCTCTCCATCACACTCTTCCGCCATGAAGCCTCACCTTGAGCTTCGAGGAATGGAGCCAGCTGTCTATGGACTGAGCCCTCTG